ACCACAGCGTGGAGTGCGAGGGATTTGCATGTATGCCGCTAAAAAGGGCACACCGTACCACATTTAATTGAGCAAGTAAAACATTGTGACAGTGAAGGCGTTATTGGAGGATATAGGAAATGTGAATAGGCCAGGGCAGAAGGGGAGATACCACAACTGTTTAACACACGTTTGGTCAAAGAATCGGCTTCACTTGTCTCTTTGACGAGTTGTTGCGTGGTGCTAACAATGTCGAGACTGACTGATGATGCCGGCGAAACGTCTGTGAATGTACCACGTCCACGGTCCGACTTTAGAAATCATCAATGTGTTCCTCTTAGTCTTCCCTACCAATAGGACCAAGTTGCGAAAACAAGGTTGGGAAACCAAGGCTATGTGAAATTAAGTGTGAACGTCATGCCTACTCAACTAATTGTGAAAAAATTCAACTACCTGTCGCATTATCACCATAATCAAAATTCGGTGAATAAACTCTTTATATAAATAAACCATGGTACTTTCAAAAGCCTACTTTAAATGAAAAATATTGTCATTTCATTTCATCACCTCATGAAATTTCAACGTCTTTAATTCATTATGAGTTTTTCAATTAACACATTTCAAGATACAGATTGATAAGGTGTAATCCTATGCTGATTGAGAAAATTAGTTGCCAATTTTAGCACTAATATTGGATTACTGAGCATATCGTGAAAATGCTAAAAGCAGACAGGAAATAAAAGCAAGGTAGAAATTGGGTCGGTCGTAAGGCAACTCCATAAGGCTTTATTCGTCAACTAGATAAGAAAAAGTAAATAAAATCGTCACTGAGTTCTGATATTTCGCAAAATATAGGTTAACCTTAACATTTTCTGACATTGAAAGAAGACAAACAATGAGTGAAAAGAGGAAAGTTTACCACAAAATCTGGATTTCTGGCCAGAAACCGCCGCTGCAGCTCTGTAATTTTATGAGCAACCGTCTTTAGAACAAATCGCCGGTAGCGAAGTCCAGTGTAGAACAGGACATCGGTGAGGCAGTGGTTAAGACAGTCGCGCAGTCGAGGCACTGTACGTAGACTAACCCTAGCCAATTGGGCATCGAGGTTATCCGGTGAGCCTGAGTGGAGTGCTGTGTGCCAGACAACGGGGAGAAACTCAACACGTCCAAGCATGTGTGAATTATGTCTGTGATTTTTTATCTCAGTGGTCCATTTTTGGTCTTGCACCGACGGAGATGAGGCTTCAGCTTCGATGCTTTGAGAGTTAGATGAGGTTGGACGAATATGGCTGTTGAAAAGTCTTCTTGCCGTTTCTCTGGAATAGAGAGCGAAGAACATTTTTATTAAACGCAAACATGTAAAAACCATTTTAACTGATAAAATTAATGTAAAGGAAATCCTTCTGCTATTAGCAAATTAAGTTAGAATAAGAAGGGTTCTACAAACAAGGCCCACAAGAAAACAAGTAATCATTGGCAATAAATCACCCTACAAGCCAAGCACGTAAGTGTATCAAAGATTTTAATACAAAAATTAAGAGTAAAACAGTATTCACACTATTTCATTTGAGGTAATGAAGCCTAGGAATTTATGCTTCATAATTCATGGAATTAATAATCATTAAAAAAATAAGAAATATAGAAGTTAGGGGATCTAAAAGTCCTTGTGTAGTTGCATATCCAATAGGCTAAAAAAATGCCTTATCTATGTTTCCTGAGCTGCATTGCAAAACACAAAAAACTTAATGAACTCTAAAACACAAATAAAAGGCAGAAGTTTTGCAATTCAGGGATAAAATACTCGGCCATAAAAAAACAGTGGAAAATCACATTGTGAAACATGGGTTTAAAAGTATGAAGCATTGTTGGGTTATCAAAAGTTTCTAATTAGAACTTTACTAATTCTATGTGGTTTGGAGTGATGTAATAACCGATAGTATAATTTCCTACAATGCCATTAAAGTTCTTTTATTCTTATTGTCCAAAGGTTTCTCTCATCGAGGATAGACAGCATTTACGACTCCATCTAGATCTCACCAAAACCCATCAACGGGATTCGAAGCCGGACCCTGCTCAGAACGTAAGTAATATTATTGAATATAGTGGAAGAAACAAAATGGCCTAATCGGCAAACCCCTTATTATTTTGATT